AATACTTATTTAAAAAATTTAACCATAGTAAGTTTAAAGTTGGACTAAAATTTTGAAAGGTAAACTGTTTTTTTTTAGTAAACCCCTTATCATTTTAGTCCGTAAGTAAGTGGATCATGTCGCAAACGAGTCTAAGTAAAAAGTTTTCCTTTTTTAATCCTCCGGCGCCGGAGACGCCCGCGTGGTCCCCGGAGGTGACGTGTCCGCCAGATGTCGCTCACCTGGCGGACACGTGGATTTTTTAATTTTTTAAATTTTTTTTAAAACTTATTTTTAATTTTATTTGTATTTTTTTATTTTTTTTATTTGGTCCAATTAAAAAAAATAAAATAAAATCCACGTGTCCGCCAGGTGTCGCTGACTTGGCGGGACACCTGGCGAACACATCACCTCCGGCGAATCACGCGGGCGTCTTCGGCGCCGGAGGACTAAAACAATGAAATTTTTTCACTTATGGGACTAGTTTGCGCAGGCTCCACTTACGGGACTAAAATGATAAAAGGTCCAATTACAAGACTAAAAAAACAGTTTACCCAATTTTGAATTATAAAAATAAAATAAATATTTAATATGATATAAATAAGTATTCATCTAATTTAAATTGTTTTAAATTAATTTTTAATATTATATTCTAATACCGTGTATACAATTTCGTTAGAGATGGTTTGGAAAAGTTTATCGAAAATATCAAACTATATTGTACTCCGTACCAAATTTTTTAGTTTATTAAATATCGATATTATATCGAATATTCGGTATATACAAAAATATCTAATTGTTTTTATTATCTATATATACTGAAAATATTTTGTATGTCGTTGTTATACAAAAAAACCATTTCGTACCGAAAATTTTAAATTTTTTCAATATTTTTTTGTATGAATATGCATGTTATTTCCGTAATTCAATATTTTTTATTCTTAAATTTCATATACCAAAATATTTGTACGGAATTGATACGGTAAAATATCATACTAAAAATCGTATACAATGTGGCATTAAATTTGATGTGTCATACGAACTATTTCTAAAAACAATCAATTTCGAAAAATTTAATGTATTTTTTATATAATTTTTTTATTATTACATTAATTAATTAAAATAATTAACTACCTAATATAATATTTCTTAAAATGTGCCCAAGAGAAAGTAGACTAATTCCACAAAAAAAAAAAAAAATATTTGACAAAAAGAATATTATAAAATTATTTAAATTCAAATTCAAATAACACACATCCATTATATATATTTTTTTATTTCAAACTACAATAAACATTAACTGTGTACAAATTGCAATAAAAACAACATTATTTTTCTTACGAAATACTACATCAAAATATTATTTAAATAAAAACTCAAACTAATATTCCATATAAATTAATTTCAAATCATAGTCAAACAAATCCTATATTTTTTACTCCATTCATTCTAATTATCATATATATTTTTTTAAATTTAAATATATTAATTAGTTATCTTAATTTATAATTATTTTTATTATATTGTTCCATAATAAATTATGAAATTTTCATTGTAGTATGTCCTATAACAAATAATAAATTTTTATATTTGATAAAACTTACTAATTTAAAATATTTTTAATAAATATAAATCAATTTAATCAATTATATAACATATAACGGACCGACTTAAAACTTATTTACTTTTATCTTTTTTCAATAATAAATATTTTTTTACATTTAAAACTCTATTGTTTTTATAAAATTAATTTATATTAATCATAAATAAATAAATATTTTTTTAATGTATGTGTATTATATAAAATAATATTCATACTATAAAATTTATTTTTTTTAATTATTGAAAAATAATTTTTAAAATATTTAAATATATAATAAAAATTTCTTTAAATTATATATTAACTTATATTTTAAAATTACTAACAATATTTTTTACATGAAATGTACTTATTTCGGTTATATAGTAAATTAAAAAATAGCTATATTTTAATAGTTAGTGAAAAATATTTAAGAATTTTTTTATATTTTTGTCTTTTAATTTTATTTTTAAAATAATTGTATGTAATAATATATTGTAATTTAAATAAAAGGTAAGAGTATTTTAATACTCTTCCAGTCCCGCAACAAATAACTTATCTTTATTTTTTGTCCGTTTTATTCTATTTTTAATAAATTCATTTATTTTAAATATAATTAATAAATATAAATTAATTTAATTAAATTTTTAAATTTCTCACACATAGAGCACACTCAAAATCCCTTTATTTTTATATCTCCTTAATAAACAAATATTTTTCTCTATATTTAAAACTTCTCATTATTTTTATAAAATTAATATTAAGTTAAATTATAAATAAATAAATACATTTTTTATTTATTTGTCTTATATAAAATTTTATTATCTACAAAATAATGTCTATATTGTCAATATTTTATTGAAATATAATCCTAAAAGTGTTTAAAATACCAAAAATACTACTCATATAATAAAATAATATCATAATTTATTATTAATAATTTATTTTGAGTTGAAACGTAAAGAATATTAAAATAATATCATAATTTACTATTATTAAGTAATTAAATATCATCACTTTAAATACTACTCCCTCCTCATATATCTCTATTCGTTTATTTTTTTTTTGCATAAAATTTTAAAAATATTAGTATTACATTAAAATACAGTAGAAATAAAGATAAAACACTAAATTAACCTTATTTGTATTATATAATATAAATGTAATGATATTTGTACAATATATTGTAAATTTGAAGAGTATTTGTAATATTAGATAGACAGTATTTGTGTAATATATTATAAATTAGAAGAGTATTTCTAATGTTATGTAGACAGTATCAGTATCAGTGTTTGCCAGTATTTATGTAATATATTGTAAATTGAAAAATATTTGTAATGTTAAATAGATAATATTTGTATAATATATTGTATATTGAAAGAATATATGTAATATATTGTAAATTGAAAGAATATGTGTAATATATTGTAAATTGAAAGAGTATTTGTAATTGTAATATATTGTAAATTAGAAATGAATACTTTAGTATGAAACGGAACAAACTAGAAAATAGTTAGTCAAGAGACTGATGAAGTATATGCCTAATCAAATACTCCCTCCGTTCTGATGAAAGAGTGACATTAGCTTTTTGCACGTAGATTTTTTAATATTAATATTATATTGAATTTTAGTAAAAAAGAAAGAGTGACATTTGCTTTTTGCACGTAGATTTTTTAATATTAATATTTTATTGAATTTTAGTAAAAAAGACAAAAATACCCCTATTAGTATAATGTAATATAAAAGTAATGATATTTGTATAATATATTGTAAGTTGAAAGGATATTTATTATGTTAGGTAAGTAGTACAATTACTAAATTAAGAAATGATAACCTTGTTTTTGGATGGACAAAAATGAAAAATATAACTTTTTAATAAGACTGATAGAGCATATCATTTCAAAAAAATATATATATATTTTTAATTATTTATTAATTATAGTTTTTTTATTATTATTTTATTACAGAAACTGTTCTCCGTAACCGAATAATAAAAAAATAGTAATAAATATACAGATTTGACAGCAACAGGTAGGATTTCAAAAAACGAGAAAACAATGTAACCCCCCGCCCCTAAATGCAGAGTGGGTGTACGTGGGTGTAGTAGTCCCGGACCTTTCGGGACCTGCAGAATAAATTTGAATGTCAGTCACTTCCCTCAAATCACAGACAGACGTCCGTTCGCCCCTTCTTCTTCCTCCCTCCCTAAAATCCAAGAACACTCCTGTCTCCGCTCCTCTCAAACCCTAACCCTAACCCACCCTACCCTACCCCCATCTTTCCTGCTTTTCGATTGCGATCGAGGTCCGCCGCCATCGCTCTGTGAACTCTAAGTAAGTTCTACTGCTGTTTCTCTTCCGCATTGTAATGGAAAAATCATTTCTCCTTGTTTTTTTAGTAAGCTCTGTGGATTGCGCGGCTGTTTTCCTTGATTTTTCCGCCGCTGTTGTGTTTGATTGTAACGTGGAAGGAGTTTATGAAGAGGATCCTTGCTTTTGTTGTTTTGATCTGAAATGGGGAAGATGATTTTATCGCTGTTGAATTTTAGGGATTTTTTTGTGTGTTAAATCTGGGGGAAGTTTCGTGATTGTTGGTATCTTGTTGCTTCTGTATTTGTGAGAATCTAACTTCTTCTTCTTCTTAGATTTCTCTGTTTGTGTGAAATGAGTTAACACACGCGCAGAGAGATCGCTCTGTGGTGTTAATACAGAGTAATCGAAGAATAGTTTCTTGTGTAAACTTCTTTTGGAAAGGACTTATTGCATTGAATTCAAATATCTTCGAGTTTTTGGCTGAGGAACGTTTGGGGGCTTCAAAATCATTTGAATGTCAATAGGAATTTCTTTGATGATGTATCCATTTGGGGAATTTTCAATATTTATGCCTATTTTTGTACAGCAACGGATTCTTGATTATCCCTGAGGAGTTGGTAACTATTAATAGTATATGAACGTTATATACTAAGAAGTTTAGGTGAGATGGGTGTTCTTTTCTTTATATTATTATTTCAAAATTAGCAGAGTATTAAACTATGCAGGATCTGTGTTCATACTTTCAGTGGCAATGTTCAAGTGAAAGATATATAATACATATCTTATCAGTTTTAAGGTTAAAATCTATAGATGGGGTGATAATCTACAAGTACAGAACTTGGCAAGCTTTCTTGTATTTTCTTCATCAAGATTTCCTAATCTTTAGTAATTTGTTTGTTTGGTCAGATCATACAGCCTCTGATTTCCATCACTCCAATGGTGTTTGGGAAGCCGTCGTTTATGAATGGGCACCGGAGCAATCACTGGTTGCCTTGGAAACCTCAAATGTCGGATGTTGTTAAGGGCTCTTCGGATACATCAGATATACTGCAACAGAAGTTGGATGCTAAAAGAACTACTGCAGAGAAGTTATGGGCCACTGACAACAACGATTCTCCATCTAAGTTTGAATGCCGAGAGGCGGATGCTGCAAATGGTTCTTCGAAGCACAATGGATCCTTCATCTCTCACAATATCCATACAGAAACTAAGTTATTCACCTCTAAGCTGAATGTCAGCTGTTCAGATACTGATTTACCATCAAGATGTGTTCCAACACTTAATGTGCAAATTGACTCTGGAAACTCAGTTGCAACACAGAGGAGATATGATGGCGACAAGCGAAAACTTAGAAATGACAAGGAGAGTGACATTGGCTCAGGAAGTGCTTCGTGGCTGTATGATTTGAACAACCTCTCAGCTCTCATAGCTGAAGCTGGACCATTTATCGATAGTCCTTGTACTAAACATTCTGCACCAGAAGGGATTACAAGTGAACAGTCTGAAAGCAGTCGAACAATATCATCCAACTCTTTTCCGTACAGTTCTCTCGATGGGGAAGCAAAGACATCCGCAGAGACAACTCACCAAGACCAAAACTCGGCTGACTTTCTTAGAAGAAAGGCAGTTGAGGAAAGGCTAACCAGGGCCTGTGAAAACAAAAAGCTTCAGAGGTCAGTCAACAAGGAAAAAAATGATGATGATGAAGGTTCCACTTTATCATCAGAGGAATGGAGCATGTTGCAGCCGCGTACCAAACGCAAGTGTGGCGGGCATGTCTTAGGATCACAGGGTAGGTTCTCTGAATCATCTGAAGATGATTTGGATGAAAAGCCCCGGAAAGCTGTTAAAGTGAAGTCGAGTGAATGCTCTGTATGGAAAAAAGGCCAGGATGGAAAAGCATCGGCCGAGTGCCCAACAGGTGATTCTACTGCTGCTACAGACTATTATGATATTGAAAAGGACATGGCCATCAGTGGCCGTCGGCGCAAATATAGTGGAAGTCGTAAGACACTAATCGATTTGAATCTTGTGCCATATGATCATCCTCAATCTGTTAATGTAAGGGCTATTTTGAAGGCGTTCAAAGAGCAATGTGGAAAGGTTACACAAAAGTTGAAGGAGTTAGGAGTAGCTAGAGTTAGTTTAAGTCATCATGATGTAATAATTAAGCGTCTCAGGAGAACGAATATGTGGTCATATCCTGAAAAGCCTTTTGGCCATGTAGCTGGTGTTCAGATTGGTGACAAATTCCGGTTTAGGGCAGAACTTACTGCTGTTGGAGTACATGGCCCATTGAATTATGGTATAGACTATGTGGAGGTTAATGAGACGAAACTTGCAACCAGCGTCGTAAATTCAGGGCGTTATGAGAATGTGGTTAAGTCACTTGATGTCATGATATACTCAGGGGAAGGATGTTACCAACAAGGTCCTAAAAGGGCTGAAGATCAAAAACTTGAAGGGGGGAATCTTGCTTTAATGAATAGCATGAAATTGAAATATCCGGTTCGGGTATGTTTCAAGAAAAGGCATTCGATTACAAAAAATGAAGGGAGCTGTGTATATGTCTATGATGGTCTCTACATGGTAAACAAAATGATGCAAGAAAGAGATAAGCATGGGAAATTGGTGTTCAAATTCGAGATGCACCGGATGCCATGCCAACCAAGACCTTACCAAACCAATGTTAAGCCGGTAAAACAAATGAAGGGTAAGGGGCAACCGAAGGACAAGGAGGTATGCATTATGAGTGACATATCTCAAGGATTGGAGGAGAGACCCATCCGTGTAATTAATGGAGTCGACAATGATAGGTATCCATCTTTCACTTACATAACAAAAATGTCATATCCATCTTGGTTTCACAAAGTTGCTCCCGTTGGTTGCAATTGCACAAATGGTTGCTCGGACTCTGAGCAATGCGCTTGCATCTTAAAGAATCGTGGCGAAATTCCCTTCAACGAGAAGGGTGAGATTCTTAGGGTGAAGCCTTTAGTTCATGAATGTGGCCCATTGTGCAAATGCCCGCCTTCTTGCATGAATAGGGTGAGCCAACGTGGGCCTCGCTATCAATTGGAGATTTTCAAAACCGAGAGTAGAGGTTGGGGCGTAAGGTCGAGGCATTATATAAGTTCGGGGAGTTTTATTTGTGAATATGTTGGGGAGTTGCTCCGAGACAAGGAAGCGGAGCAAAGAATCAACAATGATGAATATCTCTTTGATCTTGGCGGTGATGGTGAGGCACATGATTCCTTTTCTATTGATGCGTTGAAGTTTGGGAATGTCAGCAGGTTTATTAACCACAGCTGCTCCCCGAATCTTTTGGTCCAAAATGTTCTATATGATCATAATGACAAAAAGGTTCCTCACATAATGTTTTTTGCAACAAAAAACATCCCTCCTTCCCAAGAATTGTTCTATGACTACAACTATAAGATGGGACTGGGAATGTTAAAATGAAGGTATGCCATTGTGGCTCTCGCGGACGCACCGGGAGGACGTATTCTCATGCATTTGCTAGTCTTGTATGATTTGCTTTCTACTTTTTCTTTGTTGGATTGAATGCTTTAATTTCTTAGACTTTGTTGAACAAGTTTAACTAGAAGAGGCTTTGTTTCATCTTCTCTTGTGGCTTAACTCCTATGTTTTTTTTCTACTATTTTATGATATGGGAGCTTGTGTTGTTTATTTATTTGCAATATCTTTGCAAATCTTGAGTACTTTTGTTTCCTAGATAAATAAATCTCAATGAATATGCATCTCTCTTCTTTAAGGTGTTTATATTATTCTTAAGTAGAAAGTAGTTAGTAGATTGACGCATTTGCTAATTTAGTTTGGTCATCAATACCTACTACTTCAACAATTATGGGCGTGATGTCTTCAATATCTAATGTTTGTATGTTTTTCTTAAGTAGAAGTTACGCAAATATCAATTTGTTAATTTATTTTTGTTATCAATACTTACTATCTCAACATGTTTGCGCATGGTGTATCCAACACCATATGTTTGTATATTGTTCCTCGAGTAGAGAGGAGACAAGCCTGCGTGTGAGGCGTCTACAACTCCTTTATAGGCACTCAGTCTAGGATGTTTATGCATTTGTTTCCACAACTCCGTTAGAGGTTCGCACAAGCCATAACAGTTTAGCACGTCGGATCTTAAAAGAAAAAACTCCTTTACATGCTCCAGAGCAAGAAATTATATGTATTGTTAACGAATGCCCAATGAAGGCCCTTTGTGTTAATTGTTTAGAATAGGTGAGTTGCTTTGAACACAAACTTCTTGTACATCCCAATCATTTCCATTCCGAATTCCAATTGTGTGTTTTGAACACAAACAAAGTAGGTTGAAGATGCGTTGGCGATGCCTCAACGATGCTATGGTGCTATCCAAATTCCCAAAACATTGCGAGTCTCCAGCCCAAGTTAGCCCAAGCCCCCCAAACCACACCCACCTCAACTCTTAAGCCCGATTGAACCCTAACTAGCCTTCCTTTCTCTCCCTATTGCTCTCTCCATGTTTGCAACTTCATTTCACCACTTCATCCCGCTGAAATTTTAATCTTAATGTTCTTTAGCGTTTTAGACTCAAGACTCCACTAAAAATACACTCTAATAGTGCTATTTTTGTTATTTCTAGTATCGTAGTAATAGTGTATTGCATTATTATGTATTATTTATTGAATAATGGTTTATTTTTATTTTTGTTTGTCTAGGTATTTTGTATTTAATACTTATAAAATATAATATATTTAATTATATACAAATGCATCATTCTCGCCATTTTTTCGCAATAGCGGTATGGCAGTTCACATGTGCCACGCTGCAAAAGAGCAACACAATAACTTTACTTGGCTTTCTCCCCAGACATTTAGGGTGTGTTTGTTTGGGGGTTTAGATTTTGAATTGGGATTTAAATAGTAAAAATTTTGAATTTGAATAGTTGTATGATGTGATATATAAATAGGTGTTGATGTGATGTTTTGAATGTAAAATTGATTTTTGTTTAATATAAAAAATAAAAAACAGATGTTTGATTTGATGTTATTGGGGAAAAAAAAAAGTAGGATGAATAATGGATTTAAAATTCAATCCTCCAAACAAACACACAATTATTTCCTTTGAATTGGGTTATCAAATCAAACTTTACCTTTTCCATCTCACTGCCGGCCCACCTAGTATTTTTTTACCCTAATTTGGCATTTTTTTGTGAATAAAAAAGTCCCCTCAAAATATTTGAGTGAAAAACATGACTAGTTTCACATTTGGAAATCCAAACACTTTTGAAATGGGAAATGAAACTATCACTCCTCTAACCAAGGCCACCAAGTCTGATCCATGCAATAACTTTATGTTGAACAATTAGTCGGATTTGTTCTGGAAATGAAGGCTCTCTGTGTATATTGTTACTGTCACTCCCGCTAACCAAGGCCACAAATCCATGTAGAAGCTTTATGTTAAAGGAGTACATGGATTTGATCTTCTATGCTTGCATTAGGGTGAAATCATCTTTGGGAAGGTCTCCTTAGTCATCCATACTTACAAATTGAAGAAGTTTGAAGTATCCAACACTAAATGATTTTGGCATAATGAGCCCCATTGAATGGCTCGCACGGCATGCTATTAACTCAGTTGTAGAGTGTGCCTTTGAGAACAGTGTCATACTGCCTAGACTGTGAAGACTCTGAGCCACGTGGATAGTTCAATGTATTCATCGGCGCTTGACCCTGAGATGTGGATTATCCAAGGCAAATTAGTATTGCGTACTCATTTTGTTCGAACCGATGTTTGTATGTTATTCTTATGTAAAAAATAAGGCAAACACATTTGTTAACGCAATTCAACCATCAGTACATATTACTTCAACAAGTCTGTGTGAGGCATCCAACATTGGTTGTTTGTCGAACAATTTCTACAACTCCTTTACAGACTCCATAGCCTTAGAAGTTTATGCATCAATATCCGCAGCTTCTCTATGGGCTTTATGTTGAACAATTAAGTGGATTTGTTCGGTAAATGAAGGCTCTCTATGTATATTGTTGCTATCACTCCCGTTAACCAAGGCCACAAACCCATGCAAAAGCTTTGTGTTAAAGGAGTACATGGACTTGATCTTCTATGCTCGCATTGGAGTGAAATCATCTTTGGTATGGTCCTCTTAGTCATTAATACTTGCTAATTGAAGAAGTTTGAAGTATCCAACATTGAATGCTTTTGGCATAATGGGCCCCATTGAAGGGCTCGCACGGCATGCTATTAACTCAGTGGTAGAGTGTGCCTCTGATAATAGCGTCATACTGCCTAGACTGTGAAGACTCTGAGCCACGTGGATAGTTCAATGTGCTCATCGGCGCTTGACCCTGAAATGTTGATCATCCAAGGCAAATTAGTATTGCATACTCCTTTTGTTCGAACCGATGTTTGTATGTTGTTCTTATGTAAAAAATAAGGCAAACACATTTGTTATCTCAATTCAACCATCAGTACATATTACTTCAACAAGTCTGCGTGTGAGGCATCCAATGTGAGGCATCCAACACTGGTTGTTTGTAGAACAATTTCTGCAACTCCTTTACAGACTCCATAGCCTTGGATGTTCATGCATCAATATCGGCAACTTCTTTGTGGGCTCCATAGCAAGAAATTCTATGTTCCATTAGTGAAAGCCTTTCAAATAATTTGTTTCAAATATGTATAAATTGCTTTGAATGCAAATTTGTTGATTCAATTTAGTCACCAAATCCTACTACTTCAACAAGTTTGTGTGCGAGGTATTCAACATTGAATGTTATATATTGTTCTTAAGTAGAAAGTAGACAAACACACATTTCGATTTTTTATCATTAATGCCTCTACTACTTCAACAAGTCTGCTTGTGAGGCATTCGTCATCGGATGTTTGCACTTCAATGTCTACAACTCATTACTGGCTCCATAGGATTAGATGTTCACATAACTATATGTATAACTTCCTTACGAACTTCGTACCAAGAAGCTATACATTCCGTTAATTAAAGTCTTTCATGTATAATTGATTGAACACAAATTTGTTCATTCAATTTAGCCATCAATATCTACTACTTTAGGAAGTCTGCATGTGAGGCATCCAAAATCGGATGTGCACACTTTAAAGTCTTTCATGTATAATTGATTGAACACAAATTTGTTCATTCAATTTAGCCATCAATATCTACTACTTTAGGAAGTCTGCATGTGAGGCATCCAAAATCGGATGTGCACACAATAGTGTCTACAATTGATTTATAGATTCCATCGCATCAAATGTTCACACAACAATATCCACAACCTATTTACGAGCTTGATAGCAAGAAGTTGTATGTTTTGTTAATGGAAGTTGTTTTGAATAGGTGTAAATTGCTTTGAACATACATTTGTTCATTCAATTGAGTCATTAATACCTACTACTTCAACAAGTCTGTACGTGAGATATTCAACATTGGTTGTCTGTATGTTATTCTAAAGTAAATAGTAGGCGAACACAAATTTGTTAATTCAAATCCATCATCAATTCCTACTACTTCGTCAAGTTTGCTTGTGAGAGGTATCCAACATTGAATGTTCTTACAATAGTATCTACAACCCCGTCATGGGCTCTGTAGCATCAGATGAATGGTTGAATAAATCATTCATCCTTGGAGTTCCAACATTAATCCTCTCGTACGTATTTATTAATATAATTGGGATGCATTTCCTCTTGATTCCATAAAAGACATAAGATGAATGAATTAAAAAGGCCACCCACTATTCCTAAAATTAGGACCCTTAATCAGGAGATGTCGATACTTGGTAAGCTCTATGAATTGCGTGAACGTAGGAAACTCAAACTTCAAGGTCAAAAGGGTTTTGAGAGAACAATGAATAAAAGACCTCAGTAAATTGAATAGGATTATAAATCTAAATGAAAGTAAGAGGCTTTAATCTCTCAAGAAATCGAAGATTTGAATTGATGTTCTTTCATTGAGTTAGGCCAACTATTCATTGGGTTAAAAGAATGAAATACATTTGCACCATCACCATCTTCAAATAAGGTATTTTTGTAGTAGAGCCTTCAATAGAGCATAGTAAAGTAGCCCTAGTATTGGATGATAGCCCATGAATTGGTTTAAAAGCATGAAACATATTTGTGCCATCATCATCTTCAAATAGAATATTTTTTACTATAGCGATTTAAATAGCGCATAGTAAAGTAGCCCCCCTATACACTGCAGTTTAGTCATCAATACCTACTACAAATACTAATCTAAGCCTATCTAGTACACTCAATTCAGCCAAAAGACACTCCAAGAATTATTCTTCTATATAACTACAATCTTGAATAATAGAAAATCAAGATTGATACTATCAGTTAAGAGTAATTCTAATATCAATAACCAATGCAAGAAAATCTAGGAATTAACTGCAAACAATAATCTGCCTACATCGATCCATGGCAACGAACAAACAAATCCCCGGTCCTAAGCGCTCTATTCTTTTGACACTCCCACCTAAAATAACTTCAAACCATATAAATCAAAGTGGATTTCGACACCTAACCCAAACTTACCTCACACAAGCATATACATTCACACACGACTTTACGTTAGGTTAACATGCTATATAAACTTTCTATCACAAAATGCACAGACACTTAACTATTAACATTCAGGATCCAAGTATTTGGGAGCAAATATTGCGTACCTCAGCCATAGCACCGGATTGGATCATTGCAACCCTTTTCAGACGATTGTTTGAAGCCAAACCGACCACCCTTTGCAAGGTACTGCTGGTGATACTCTTCAGCTCTGTAAAATTTCTTTGCAGGCAGTATCTCAGTCACAATCTTTCTACTCAAGACCTTTTGTTGCCTGTCGCAGGATTCAAGAGCTACCTTTTCCTGCTCGGGCGTGTAGAAGTATATTCCCGATCGATATTGAGTCCCTACATCATTCCCCTGTATGGTATACCACCAGTACATTCATTAGAATATCCCCAATGATGCAGAGCAAGGAAATTAAAAACCGCAGCAGTGAGTAAATAATAATAAGCACTTAAAGAAGCCCAACAGTAGAGATATGTCAAAAAGATAAGTTTTTAATGATAACTATACAGTAGAAACACAATAATCTGAAGTACTCAGATGACTGGGAAAGCAAAAGTAATATTATTCAAGATTTGCGATTGCATAAGAAGTTTGAAACCAACATATGCATCTATGATAGTAAGCTTTTACTTGAATAGCAGAAGATAACACGAAAAACTTCATCTCAAGAAATCGAGATTTAAATTCAATTGCCAATGTGTTATTCTTTCTTATGCAGATGACATCAACTGGCATGTACTACTGTTAGCAATTTTGATTTACCCTGAGTCATTAAGATCATGAAAATGTAATTTGTTCAATACTTTTGCCCAACAAGTTTGCCATGGCTGTCAACATCTGCCATTTCGATTAAAAAAAAACTTTTGTTGATTGCTGCTTTTACAAGTAGTGAATAAAAAAATTATATCCAAATTGACTAACAACGCGCCTGCAAACTAGACGATATGATCACAAGGTCATCCATACAAGAAAGACCAGGTGAGTTGAACAAGTATGATCAAATTAATCAACAACCACGAGAAAATTGTACCAGAATTTGACTTAGGTAAACGATAGATCCAATCCAATTCCACATTGTTAAAAACCTAATCGACGACTGCCATCAAATCAAACCAGAAAAGTGCATTCCGAAATTAACAAACCCTAATTCCAGAGACAATTGGGAAAATCTGAAACCGGAATCGAACCTGGCGATTGGGAGTCGTCGGATCATGTCTCGCCCAGAACACGTCGAGAAGCTTCCCGTAGCTGCACTCCTTAGGGTCATACTGAACCCTAACGACCTCTGAATGGCCGGTGGTGCCGGAGCACACATCTTCATACCTCGGATTATGCAGATAACCCTGGCTGTACCCAACCTCAGTCCTGGTAACCCCCGACACTCTCTGGAACGCCAATTCGACTCCCCAGAAGCAACCCGCACCAAACTGCGCAAACTCCTGCCCAGGCGCCGCCAAGTCGTCGTCGACCCCCTGCGCAATCGACGACGACTCCGTCGCGGCGGAGCGCGCGCCGAATCCGAGCTTGTTCAGCCAGCCGCCCACCCTGACGGCAGCGAAGGGTTTGGGTATGGAACTCCGCGGCGATTGGAAGGGATTAGGGAAGGAGAATTTGGGGATGGAGAAAGAGGTTTTGAGGAAGGAAGGTGGGGAAATGGTGAGGGCTTTCAGAAGCATTTTTTCGGTAGAGAAGAATAATGAAGATCGACTCTTCGGCAAACTCTACTGCTACAAGCTTTAGCCTATTTAGGGATTTTATTCTCTTTGTATATGTGAGAGATATTTTATTATTATTTTATTTTTAAATTTTAAAGACTCTATTTACATCATACTCCCTCCGTCCCAAACAATATTTTTGTTTGGCGTGGAAATTTAAGTGAGAAGTATTAAGTATTGTAATTTGAGATAATTTGAATATTAGGTGATATAATTAGAGAAAAAAATAATTATTTATTTTTTTATTTGAACTATGTGATTGGATAAAGTGAAGTGTATATTAATAATATATATATAAATATTATTAATTATTTCTAAATTTGAAAATGTTGCAGTGAGTTAGAGAAAAAAAAATGTTGCATGGTGTTTGGGACGGAGAGAGTACTATTTTACTTATTTGGCATTATTTATTTTTCAAAAAATATTATTCCCTCCGTCTCATAACAAAGTATTTATTTTTCTATTTTTGTTTGTCTCATAACAAAGTATCCATTTTTCTATTTTAGTTTGTCCATAACAAAGTATCTATTTTTTTTTTAGTAATTGTATTATCTACTCAACATTACAAATACATTTACATATTACACAAAAGTCATTACTTTTATATCACATATACTAATAAGGTTATTTTAGTCATTTCTATTTTATTCCTACTATATCTCAATATAATACTAATATTTCTAAAACTACGTGCAAAAAACAAATAGATATTTACTTATAAAACGGAGGGAGTATATCAAATACAATTTTTTTTCTCACAAAGCATCAAATCAAATATAACTTTTTAGTTTTTCCAAATTTTTAAAAACCTCCGTCTAAACAAACCAAAATATTTCATTATACTATTTTTCTCCGTCACTTGACAATCTATCTATTTTTTTCATTTTGATCCGTCTCATAACAAAGATTTTATTTTCTTTTTTAGTAATTGTACTATGTACCTAACATTACAAATACTCTTTCTAATTTACACTATACTACACAAATGTCATTACTTTTATATCATACAATACTAATAGGATTAATTTAATTTTTTTTTTTTATTTTTATCTTATTTCAATATAATATTAATATTTTTAAATAAATAAATAGATATGGGAACATTTAATAAATAAATTAAATTAGGTTGCTTTCAGTCGGGTTTTGATATGTACAAGTAACTGAAAATATCTATCCAAATTAATAAATGTTTAATAATTTCACTAAAATATACATAAGCCCGCCCGTCAACCTCTTCTTATTATTCGAGACTTTTAATCTTTTATTTAAAATAATTGAATAAAATATTTCATAAAAATATATCATTATAATTATATAATAAAATTTTTTAAAAACTTTATTTTCCTTTTTCAAATAACAATCCACGGTATTTATTTTAATAATAATAATAATGTATTATTTATTTTCACAAATTATTAAATCAAAATCTCAATTTCAAGAAAAAAAAAAAAAAACATATTCATAAACTACAAATGAACAAAGCAATCTACACCAAGCTCCATAATTTCTTGATTTATTAAATTATTGACTCTTAATAAGTATTCATAAATATTTGTAATGAATTTCTAAACATGTTAAAACTTGTTTATTCATTTAAACATTTAAATATGTTCGCAAATGTAATCTTTATAATAGGGATGAGGAATTAGGTTGAAAATATAAAAAGTATTTCATGGGTTTCACATTTTGTGTCTAGTTTACCATAGATACGGTAATTTAAGTAAAATATATTTAGTAAATAATTATTATATAATTAAATTAAATATATATTCAGATTAAGATAAGTAATAGTACGATTAAAATTTTAAAAAATTATAAATTTTGAAATTTAAAATATAGGTAAAGCGTATAGTTATATTTTCGCAATAACAAATAATGTGAGACCAACAGAAATGCAAATAGTAGACCAAAAAAATGGGACAAATGAAGTACTATTTTATTTTAAATGGTTAGATTTGTTGTGAATTGATAAAATATATACTTATATATTGGGTTTGTTCTTTAACATTTAGATAGAACAATTCCACATAAATATTAGTATTTAAAATATACAATATACATACACATTAAATATTTTTTTAAATACTCATTGTTGAAATTTGGCCCAACCCAAGACCGCCGATTCGAGCCCAACCCACAATCCAAACCATATTTTGAATTTTATAATTTATAATTTTTTTTAATTTTTTTAAAAATAATTAGTTATATTTATTTTAATATATAATTATTTGTATTATATTTTAATTAGTTTTACTAATACATTTTAATTATTTACTAATAATACATTTTCTAAATTCTAGTGTTTATCGTAAACATGACATCATAATTGCAACTGGGGGAATAGTATTTTATTATTTAATGAAAATATGTAATTTTTTTGTGATTTGATGTATAAAGTAATTTAATGTATAATTATATATTTGATAATTTATGTAAAAATTAAAAAGTTTTTAATATTACTATGTTATTACTTTTAAGTATAATAAGAAAAAAAATTACTTTTAAAATTTTGAATAAAAAACTTTACCATTAAATCAGATTTTTATCATTACTGTTACATGTTAAGAAATACTGCATAAATTAACACAAAAAAACAACTGGAATAATTTATTGAAGAATGAATCTGACTTTTAAAGAGCCGGACAAGTAACAAAACTACCGAAAAATTAGGCCACTAAGCACTTATTTAACTGAATACCAAGACTAAATCAAACTAGCTTAAAATAACTCTAACAAACTCTAAATAATAGTTCTCGAAACAGTCAGAATCTTCCAACAATTCCTCCCTTGAACTCATTGCTTAAACAATTAATTCAAATCTACAGCAGCACACATACCCAATTTCTCACGAAACTTCTCAAAAGCATCTGACTTGAGAGGCTTAGTCATTAAATCTGCAAGTTGGTCTTGAGTCCCACAGAAAACTAACTCAACAACACCATCTTTGGTAAGATCTCTGAGAAAATGAAACCTTACTCGTATATGCTTTGAGCGGCCATGTAAAATTGGATTCTTTGACAGCTTTATAGTTGAAGTATTATCACGCATTAATGTAGTACAATGTGCCTGCACATGACCAATTTCCTTTAAAATTCTTCTCATCCAAATAGCTTGGCAAGCGCTGCAACTGCTGCTACAAATTCAGCCTCACTGGTTGATAAAGTGACTATAGGTTGCTTTCTTGATGACCAGACTACTGCTCTTCCACACATCATGAACACATAACCTGAAGTGCTTTTGCTGTCCTCTTTGTCTCCAGCGTAATCACTATCTGTATAACCCACCATCTCACTTGCTCCTCCTTTCTTGTAAAAAACACCATAATCCATAGTTCCTTTAAAGTACTTCAAAACTCTTTTTGCTACTGCAAAATGTAGTTGTGTGGGATTTGCCATAAAAAGACTAATAAGACTTACAACAAACATAAGATCAGGTCGAGTAGCTGTAAGGTACATCAAGCTTCCGACTATTTTTTTGAACTGAGTTGCATCTACCTTGGTTCCTTCTTCATCCACATCAATCTTTTGGCCAGGAACAATTGGATTACGAGCAGAATTGGTTTCTTTCATGCCAAAACGACTTAAAACTTCAGCTGCATATTTTCTTTGGCATATAAAAATACCATCAGTCCTTTGCAACACCTCAATTCCAAGAAAGAATCTCATATTTCCTAAATCTGTCATGTCAAACTGCTTATTCATAGAATTTTGAACTCACACAGCATTACTTCATCATCACTGGTGAACAACAAATCATCTACATAAATGCTTACTATTAGAATTTTTGCTCCTTTTCTTTTAAGAAAAAGTGTGTGCTCACTAGGACTCCTTTCGAATCCTTCCTTGATGAAATAAGACTCAATCCTACTAAACCAAGCTCTAGGTGCTTGTTTTAGTCCGTAAAGAGCCTTTTGTAATTTATAGACCATATGTTCACTTCCTTTCTTTTCATATCCTCTTGGCTGCTCCACGAACACATCTTCCTTCAATTCCTCATTCAAGAATGCAGATTTGACATCTAATTGGTAGAGATTCCACCCTCTTTGTGTAGCAAAAGCAATGATCATTCTCACTGTATCCATCCTAGCCACCGGTGCATATACTTCTGTATAATCTATTCTATACTGTTGGGAGTAACCTTTTACTACCAATCTGGCCTTGTATTTGTCAACTTCACCAAGCTCATTTAGCTTAGTTTTGTAAACCCACTTCACTCCTATCCTTTTGGCTCCAATGGGTAGTTCTACTAACTGTCAGGTCTGATTTTTCTCAATTGATTTGATTTCTTCATCCATGGCCAGCCTCCATTTTGAGCTTTTAACTGCATCCTCAAAGCTTGTAGGGTCAGAAGACACCATAAGTGCGATGGTTGTCATGTTTACTTCATCATCTTCTGACAGTCTTTCACATGATGTGTAGTCTGTCATCCATACTGGTGGATGTCGAATTCTGCCCTCTCTTCCTGTCAATTCTCTTCAATAATTGGTGTTTCATTTACTGCTTCATTCACATCTTCCACCTCTTCTTCTTCTTCATTTGTAATTATTTCAGTGTTGTCTCCCCATTCTAAATCCATCAGCTGCTCTTTTCCATAATCTGCATCCCAATTCCATATACGGTCTTCATAAAAAATAACATCATGGCTCACAATAATTTTCTTTGCAACTGGATCATACATTCTATACCATTTGGATTCATCACTAACCCCAAGTAGTACACAATTCACACTTTTATCTTCAAGCTTTGTTCTCTTAGCATCTGGTATGTGGACATGTCCCACACAACCAAACACTCCAAATGCTCCACCGAAGTTTTTCTTCCACTCCATGCTTCTTCTGGAGTCACGTCCTTCACAGCTAAAGTAGGTGATCGATTTAAGATATGAATTGCCCACCTAGCAGCTTCTGCCCAAAAGGTCTTAGGTACTTTCTTCTCCGATAGCATGGCCCTCACCAAATTCATCACTGTACAATTTTTACGCTCGGCCACTCCGTTTTGTTGTGGAGTGTAGGCTGTTGTCAGTTGTCTCTTCACACCTTGTTGCTTACAGAAATCATTGAATTCTGCAGAATTGAACTCCCCTCCTCTATCTGTTCTCAAACTCTTAATGGACATTCCAGTTTCTGTTTCTACAAGAGTCTTGAAACATCTGAAGTGATAAAAGGTTTTTGACTTTTCTGAAGGAAAATAGATCCATGTCTTTCGAGAAAAGTCATCAATGAAACACAATAGATACCTTTTGTGGCTGTTAGTGGCCGGTGTAATTGGGCCGCAGAGATCTGCATGAACTAGTTGTAGTCTTTCTGTTGCTCTCCAGTGACTCCTTTTGGGAATGGGAATGCGGTGTTGCTTGCCTTTCATACATGCATCACAAATTTCATTTGTATTTATAATTAATGGCAAACCAACCACCATTTCTTTACTTTGTAAAGTACGAAGACCCTTATAGCTAAGATGACCATAGCGATGATGCCAAATCTTGGACTGATTTGTGGTGCTTATTTGCAAACACTTTTCTTCCTTTATTGTGGTGGGTGAATCATCAATCAACTTAAACATCCTATTTGCACTCATGATGGATTCCGCCATTTTTTTCTTTTTGTGGATGATAGATGCTGCACACACCATCTTTGAACAACAATCCCAATCCTTTTTCTTGCAGCTGATCCCCACTCAAAAGATTGTTTTTTAGTTTAGGCACCCAATATACGTTACCAATAACATAGCTAATACCTTTCAAAAATAGTTTCACAGCCCCCTTTCCAATCACCTTTATTTCTGTATTGTTTCCAAGCTTGACAGTATGAGAGAAAGCTATATCCAAGCTTGAAAACATACCCTGATTCCCACACATGGATTTGAACATCCTGAATCTAAAAACCACACATCAGTTCTCTTGTCTTCATGGAGCTCCTCATATGCCATTAACAGCAACTCATCTATATCTTCTTCAGCATAATTTACCATTTTATTCCATCTTGGACATTCATATTGAAAATGTCCTAAATTGTGACATTTGTAACGTTCAACAGTTGCCTTGTTGAAGGTTATTCTTCCTGTTCCCCTGCCTTTGGGTGATCTTCCTCTACCCCTTGCTCTTCATCCTCACTGCGCACCCTTGGAAACTTCTGCTCATGTACCACCAACGAACCCTGTAATTCATCAATGGACATGTCATCAGTATTCTTTGATTCTTCGATGGACACCACAACGTACGTGAACTTCTCAGTTAGGGTTCATAGAATTTTCTGAACAATTTTTGAGTTAGGCATATCTTCCCCATTGCTCCGCATCTTATTAGAAACGGTCATCACTCTTGCAAAATACTCGGTGATGGTTTCATCTTTCCTCATTGATAGAACTTCGAATTCCCTTCTTAGTGAATTAAGAAGAGCTTTCTTCACCTTGTCATTTCCTCCAAACTTTCATTTCATCGAATCCCAAATACTCTTGGTTGTACTACGATCTAGGATTTGTTCAAAGACCGCACGATCAAGTGCCTGGAAAAGATAATGTTTAACCTGGTAATCCTTAATTTTGACATCATTGAGCAATGCTTGTTGCGCCTCTGTCAACCTCATCCCTTCTGCTGGCCTTTCGAAGCCGTCTTCTACCAAACTCCACAAACCCTTTGCCCTAAGCAGGTTCTCCATCAATTCACTCCAATGGTCGTAGTGACCATCAAAGTGAGGGATCTTCGTCAAGGTCTTGTCGTCGTTCATTCTCTTAGTATCTGCTTACTCGAAGACTACTGCTTCTCTCTATAGTCTTTCTTTGCAAGCCCAGTGCTCGCTCTGATACCAGAATGTTAGATGTTAAGAAATACTGCAGAAATTAACACAAAAAACAACTTGAATAATTTATTGAAGAATGAATCTAGCTTTTAAAGAGTCATACAAGTAACAAAACTACCAAAAAATTAGGCCAAAAATTAGGCCACTAAACACTTATTTAACTGAATATCAATACTAAATCAAACTAGCTAAAATAACTCTAACAAACTCTAAATAATAGTTCACGAAACAGTCAGAATCTTCCAACAATTACTTCATTAGTTAATATAAATACAAATTAAATTTCAAAAGTGTAGCCCGATGTTCATTGCCTAGACACGGAAATTTTGTATCGCTATATTTTTCTCCTCTTCCTTTTCTTCTTAATATCGCAATCCAATTTGTTGTAATATACTTTTTCCATCCCATTATAATGTTACATTTGGTTAGGGATACAGTTTATAAAGTAATGATGTTTAATTAGTTAATAATAATACATTATGATATTATTTTTTATGTAAATGATAGTGTTAGTAATTTAATACTTTCTCGTCTCAAATACTCAACAACATTTTTTTTTTGAAATGTCCTAAACACCTTCAATATTTTCAAAATAAGAAATAATTAATTATATTTAATCCGCTTTATCCTCTCACATCATCTAAATAAAAAAATATATATATTTCTGACTTTATCACATCAACTAATTTCTAAATTATTCTATTAAATAGTACCCATCTAAAATATTACACCTTGTTTAACATGATTAACAAACATTAATAAAGAAAGTAAAAAAAAAAGAAAATTGAAAAAAAAAAAAGAAACAGTTTGGATGGCAGTCGTTAAAATTGAAGGCCGGCAAAAATTTGAATTTGGGGGTTTGGATTTTGGATTGGGATTTGAATAGTAAAAATTTTGAATTTGAATAGTTGTATGATGTGATATAAATAGGTGTTGATGTGATGTTTTGAATGTAAAATTGCTTTTTAGTATAATATAAAAAATGAAAAATAGGTGTTTGATTTGATGTTTTTGGGGGAAAAAAATTGGATGAAGAGTGAAAATCTTCCAAAATCCTTCAAACAAACTCACCCTAATGAAACCCTAGTCTCCTACGGATATTCATACGGTAAGCCCTCGATAAATCGATAAAAAAGTATTAGTTGACTGATCGAAGTGTGTGGCCGATGCGGGTGATGATCTATCTCAAGATTTCTAATTGAGATGACCGATTCGGGTGATTGATTTCAGATATTGCACGATTAGGGTTTTGGGTAAGGAGTCGAAACCGATGAATTTGGGCGATCTCAACAAAGTTTGGGAAATCAAATCGCTGAAGAGGAAGCCTAATGAAGAAGAGGCGAGAAAGATTTTGGAAAGAATTGCGAAGCAGGGTCAGCCAATCATGCAGAAGCACAATTGGAGGGTCAAAGTTCTTTCGGAATTCTGGTACAATTGCTTAACAAATTTTCGCCATGTTTATTGTAAATTCGCACCAGGAAACATTCAGAGTAAAATATTCAACTGTTTGATCAATCTTAATCGATATTAGGCTGGAATTTGATGTTTCAGAAATGAATCATTTGTGGTACTTTCGATTTTTAGCAGTGAGTTTTTTTCTCATTACTTGCCCTTAATTATGTGGATTCATCTGTTTAATCTGAATTTCGCAGTCCCAAAAATCCAGCTCTTTTGGGCTTGAATGTGGGGCGTGGAATACATGTAAAATTAAGGCTAAGGAGGCCAAACAGTGATGATGAATTTATTCCTTTTCATCAAGTTCTTGACACAATGCTCCATGAGCTATGCCACAATGCTCATGGTCGTCATAATGCCAAATTTTAACAAACTCTGGGATGAATTTGAAAGGTAAATTGTTGTTCAAGTAATTTGTGCTAATGCATTTTGTTATTTGTGATGAAGTTTGAATTGAGGATAGTGTATTTATCGGTCAATTTGTATTAAGAAAGTCATATTTTTTGGATTTAGACAGAGATCGGTGGAATTTCTTCTGTATTGGCCATTTTAATAGGATTTGGATTTGGTGCTTATGTCTCTTAGAAGTGTTTTCTTTTTGCTAAGATATCAATGCACATTACACATGTATTGTAATTATTTGAAAAGTACTTAAGGGTGTGTTTGTTTGTGGGTTTTAGTTTTTGTGTTTGGATTTTTTAATAGCAAAAAGTTGAATTTGAATAGTTGTTTGATGTGATATAAATAGAGGTTGATGCGATGTTTTGAATGTAAAATAAATTTGTAGTATAATATAAAAAAAATAGAAAAATAATTGTTTGATGTGATCTTTTTAGAGAGAAAAAAGAATCTAAATAGTAAAACCTGTTTAAAATTCAGAAAAGAACACAATCTTACTAACAAATTGATACATTACAGCAGTTTTGTAGAACGTCTTTCTTAGTTAATATTTGTCGAAAAAGGTCACCTAAAGTGTTCTATATAATCTACAACTACTTTGTCATTTGCAATTTTTTTATAGGAATGTGAAGATCTAATTAACAGAGGAATAAGTGGATCAGGCGAAGGATTTGATATTCCTGGAAGACTTTTAGGTGGAGCCTCTCGAAAGCCACTTTCTTCTCTTCGCCAAGTTGCATTGACTGCCGCAGAAAATAGAGCTCGTTTAGGACCCTTAATGCCTTCAGGACCTAAGAAAATCGGTGGAGATAGTTATACTATGGCTGCTCTTAGTCCTGTGCAAACTGCTGCAATGGCAGCTGAAAGAAGATTGCAGGACAATATCTGGTGTGGGTTGGAAGTTCTACAATTTATCCGAGGAAGATGATAAGGTCGACTTATTTACAACTGCAAGCACTTCCCTTGATGGAGATTATTATACTAAGCAAAAATCTAGGAAAAGAGGCCGAGAAGTGGATAATGTTTCATCGTCTTTCAACTGTTCAGACAAAGAATTCACTCTCTCAGAATAATAAAAACAATTTATCCATGGAAGCTTCATCTTCCTCTTCCAAATCTTCTCACTATCCAACCTGTAATGATCATTGCAGCCAATGGGAATGTAGTGTGTGCTCTTTGTTGAATCCGGTAAGTTATTTACTTTCTATTTTATTTTATTTTTTCGAAACTGTTAATTCATGTAAGATTCTTCTGTAACATTAGGGAGACAAGAATTATGTAATCTCTTTTGATTTTATGTATGTTGATTATTAGGTTACATTAATAGCTCGATGGTAATTATGCATATGTTAGTATCTCTCTTTATAACTTAACTTGAGAGGTATTTGTCCACGACAAACTTGAATCACTATTACTATTACTATTACTGTATTACAGATTAGTGAAAGAAGTCGTGCACTTGTGCTTGTTTCCATTCTTTCTCAATTTGTTTTTGTTGTTAAATCTCTGGAAATTACTTGAACATACGAACATCTATTCATAACGTGTTAATTTTCCCTCTCCACATTCTTATTAAAATCCCATATAAGGTTAGTTCAGCTGTTGTAACCGACTTCCATGCATATGAAATTTGGTTCTTATGTACTTCTGCTGTCACTCATTTGTTTTCTGATTATTGCAGCCATTAGCCCCAATCTGCGAGCTTTGTTTTCTGAACCTGGTCCTGCAGATTCTGTATATTGGAAAATGACAGAAGATTGATAAATGTGGTGTATGTGGATCTTGGAGGTATTCATATGGTCCTCCATTAGCTTCTTCAGCACCCAATTGTGGTACTTGAGGTAAACAGCAACAGCTCATGCTTTTTGCCTTCATAATACTACCTCCGTCCGGCTCTAAAGGTCTCATTTGCTTTTTGTGTGTTGATAATTGATTATTAATTATTTTATCAAAATGTAGTACAAATTAAGAAAAAATTGCAAAAATACTTTCATTAATATCTTATAATACTAATAAAAGGATATTTGTACAAAAAAATTATACAAATATAAGGATATTTTTAATGTTAAGTACAATGATGTAAAAAGTAAATGTGACCTTTGGAAGCAGACGAAAATAGTATAATTAATTGATCACTGTGTTATGATTTCCATTTTCTGATGATCGTTTCTGGATCGCTTCCAATTAACGTGAACTGTGGTTTTATTTTTGTAAATTACAGATTTCAGCATTTCTCACCGTTTTGGCTGATATTTTGTTTCTAACACATTGGAAATATTTTGGTTGTAATTTGAAATCGCGATGTCAATATAAGATACAAAAATAAAGCCTTGGACTTTCCTTATCCATTCATCTGAGTCTTGATGTTAGATGCAATATTTTTGAATATATGTTCTTGAGATAGGATTTTAAGTTATTCCTAAAGAAAAACCAACGAATGTTTCTAAACAGATTTGGAAAAATTCGGACGAGAATTTATATATCATCATGTGCTATTAATAGAACATTTTTTGCAGGTGAGATACTGTAGCTGCTCAATATGCTTTTGGACCACTTGAGGATGACAACGACAAGAGGCAAGAGCCCAAAGCCTTGTTGCAGGAGCTGAATACTTCCATTGCTCAAGAAAGAGTAATGCTGTTATAGGTACAATGCAGATATAATATTAGAGAGAGGGAGAACTTGAAGGATGATATAAACAAGCAAATTATGCTTAGAGGACCTGAAGAAACAACTATGTTTTAAAAGATTAGGATTAAGGATCGAATAACAAACATAAAGGTAAAGAAGACATATATTTACATGGTTCATCAATAATGTGTTGGCTACGTCCATGGATAGAAACGCAGAACAAATTTATTGAGAGCGGCTAAGTTATAGATTTTAGATACTGATTTCTAATACAGATAAAACTAGATTGCATATCTCTAAGTCTATTAAGAAAAACTAAGAGAATACATCAGATGGATTTAGTCTAATACGAATTTAAAAGTTCAATACTGCAGCACATAGAGGAATGTGATAAAGCTATTTTGAAATTGATTGCTGCCCAGATCGGAGATGCCGAAAGAAATTGAAATGTTGGAAGGGGAAGGAAAATATTGGAGCTTCGCAAAAAGCAATTTTCACTTCTATTGCATGTGGTGCGTTGAATTATTTGTCTCTCTCGTTCATAATCATATACTATGCTTTTGCTTGGAGTTGACTTTGAGTTATGTTGTTTATTTTACTTGATTCATTCATTCATTACAGAGGAAAATAGAATTGGGATAGAGGATGCTACTGGAGTCCCCGACCGAAGCCATGGTTCTTGATTAGAAGTTAAATAGCAACATTCCATTCCCTTTGATTCGGTAACTTTCCTTTGTATAATATCCGTTCGATAATTGAATTTAGAATCTTGATCCAATTAGTTTCAGTAATAATGATTGGTTATGTGAATTCTACTAGTTTATACATACTGCAATCTCCATTCTTGCTTATCTGAAACATCATAAATTAGTACTGTATTATAACATAATGCTTCAGTAAAACCAACCAACCCGATTCAACATCGCATTGAGTTAATTAAGATGATTGTAACTATCACGTACTACTTACTTATGTGTGTGTTTTTGCTGGTATATCCTATCTAATGTTTTTTTATTTTTTTATTTATTTATTTTTTTTGGTGCAGTTAGTTTCAAGAACATGAATTGAACAAAAGAGGAAGGTTTTCTCTTCTCTTGTATGCATTTTAGCCGTTTTTACAAGTGTTGCTTTGTGTGCCAGCCTTTGCACAAAGTCGGTTTTTCTTTCTCCATGAGTCTATTGTCCAGCTTAGTTCATGTTTACCCATCCCCCCTTAGCAAAGCAAATGCAGACAGATGGATATCAAATTTGCAGAAAGGATACATAACATAGACAGTTCTGAATTTCAATTGGCATAACATTGATGAGATTTAAATCAAGAAATTATTCACTTAGCTATGCATTTCAGTTATGATGTTCTTTTTTGCTGCTTGGGGTTGTACCATTTTGTGAATTTTAGCCTCCCAAATGCGTATGGTTTTTCTTGTCCCATTATTATTACTCCCTCCCTCTCATATATTTTGGGTCTATTTCCGTAGATACTAGAATTTAGGTAAAACATAATATTAGTATAAATAATTATTATTTAGTTAAAATAATTATAAATTAAAATTAAAATAAGTAAATAGTTTAATTAAAATTAAAAAATTATAAAATTTTAAATTTAAAATATGATTGTTACGAGAAAATGCTACATTCACTCCTAAGTCGTTTTCTTTTCCGAGAAACCTACTACGAGAAACCAATCCAAAGTTGGATTTATTTTATTCATTTGATTTTTTCTTCTAACTTTCGATTCAAGGTCCATTTTGAATTTATTTAAATTACAAAATAAGTATAAACATTTCATTTTATATTTAGATGAGTTATTATAATAGTAGTTTTTTTTATAAAAAAAATTAAATTGTTAAAATTTTCAGATAGGATATAGTAACGTAAATAAATTTTTTTATTAAATTTTTTAAATTTATTTAAAAATTTTATAAATTAAGTTTAAAATTTTTATAAATTATATACATAATATATTTATTATTTATAAATTATATTTTAATTTTAATATAATTAAAAATATAATTAACTTTAAAGAAATTTTATTCTACAAATTATTTTAAAACTTTATATATTATATTGAAAATATTAAATTATGTATATAATTAAAATTTTTATATTTTAAAATTTGGATATCTCAATTGTATCTTTCAAAATTTTAATTTAGATATAATATATAAACTAATAATTAAAATAAAATTATATTTAAATATAATATATAAATTAATTATTTTTATTTTTATTTTAACTTATTTATTTAGTTAATAATAATAAATACTAATTTATATTGTAAAATTGCTTGTGCTTTAAGGTGTTTAAAAAACATATGTTAGGAATTTGCTTTTGCTTTTAAGCAAAATCCGATACAAATAATAAATAAATAAATACTTTCTCTATTCAATTTGTATACATTTATTTTTGATGAAAAATTTAAAAAAATATATATAATTTAAAATATAGTGAGCAGGCAGTGTAAATATAATTTTATCCTTATCTTTTGTTATAAAAGTAATTATGCTATATTAAAGTATGGTATTTATAGAAAAAAAAATGGGGTTCATAGTTACTAGAAAAAAAATAACTAAATTTTTGAACCCCGGAAGTGATTGACAGTCCAATTCGAAGGTGTAAATGGACCAATCCAAACAACCCTAATCAGCTCAGTGTTGGGTACTGATAAGGACAAGCCAATTTGGATGACAAAGGTGATGGAGAAGTGGAAAGAATTTTCCTAAAAAAATAGGAAAGTTGAGAAAATTGTGGAATAAGACAAATTCGTCACATCAGTCGCCTTTTCGGGAGGATCAGAACGAAGAAGAACTTTCATATCCCATCCGAAGGGCTACCCTATCGTTCGATACTCAAGATCCTTTAGAAGAAATCAACTTTGGCGACGATGCGACCCTCCGGATAACGCAGATCAATTTGTTGCTACCTTTAGAACAAAAATAATGATTGACAGCTTTGATCCAGATATATTGGGACTGCTTTGTTTGGGATTACTACGAGATGCTAGGCCCATTCAAGAGTTTGGTTCAACATCGGTTACCTACAAAGCTGTCAAGCCTCACAAACAGCCCCCATGACGATTCAACCCGGAGGTGATGTCAAAAGTCAAAAATAAAGAAAAAAAACTTTATGAAGATGGAGGAACCCGGCATAGAGAGCTGCCATAATGAAAGTATCTTGTGAGCTCGAGCCTATTGCCGAAATTTCATATAAAAATGTTGTATTTCAAAATTTGCTAAATTTTTTGCCTAAATATTTTTATGGTGGACATTTGTTACTCCTATATATTTTTTAACCTCGTGATTGATAATCCAATTCGAAGGAATAAATGGGCCGGCTCACATATCCCCAATCGACCCGAAGTTGGGTATGGATAAGGACAAGTCAACTTGGATGATGGAAGTGACGGAGAAATGAGTCAAAAACTTTTCATGAAAATAGGAAAATTGAAAAAATTGTGAAACAAGATATATCTCATAGCTATTTAAAAGGAAAACCAAGATTTTAGAAGACGACAATCATCCTATCCTAACAATACAATAATCCAAGTTTTTTTTTTCTTTATTTTCTACTTCTTCTCTTTTTTTTTTTTTTTTTTTTTTTTTCAGAATTTGTTTAGTTATGTTCCTAAATTCTTGCCTATTGTATTCTATTTATTTACATCTTGTTAATTCCAATTCCTAGATCCAATCTATAGCACCAAATCCATTTTCCTTTTTATATTGCCCCGATTTTAGAGTATATTCTAGCATTTTAATTTTGAAATAAATCAAAGTTCACTTCTAGTTACTCATAATCAATTCCATTCAATATCGGTCAAATTCATCGTATTAATCCAGCTCCAGCTCCATTCATAGCTCATCTGGACTTATTTATGCGTTAGTTTTATTGCAAGATCGAGCCCGAATAATTTTCTAAAAAATCAAAAATTTAATTTACGTCGATTTTGATAAGCTCAAATTCAACGTACTTGAACAAACTACACCCACGATACCTTATTGACGATTATGTCATAATATAATTATTAATTGCCTTTCAATTTATAATTGACTATTCAAAAGATCTTTTTAAGACTATGCATAAATGAAAATTGATGACAAACTAATAAATTAAATTGGAACACGTTTCTATGACAAATTTAAGGTTTATTTGGTTTTTATTTTAAATTTTAAATTTTACTATTTATTCAGTACAGTTTTTTTATAAAATTATAGTAGTATTATTATTTTTTCATAAAATATGACATCAAAATATTATTTAAATTAAGAATACAAAACAAATCAATTTCAAACTTAAACTAAATATTTTTATTTTTACATTACTTTTAATATTTTTTTTCTAATTTTAATCAATATATTTTATTTTCTTCACAAAGTATTTCTAAAAATAATAAAAACTAATCAAATAAAAAAATCCTAATTTCTCAAAATACTTTTACAAGTCTAATAACTAATAATAAAATTCTTTACAAAAGTATCAACATGTGGAGTTTAATGTTCCAATGGAATAGTCTTGCAATATATATCATTTGATTTAAATAAGTGTCATTATTTTCAATTTTGAAAAGTATTAAATATCTTTACTTAAAATAGAGTTACAAAAATTATTAGTTCATTTTAAATTATATATATTTAAATTATTTCATATGAAAATTAGAGTTTTATGTAATACTATTATTTTTTAGGATAAAAAGAAATTATGCTGCAATAAATTATAATCTTGTATTTTAGATTTTTATTTTAACTTTATTTTGTATTTACAAAAATTCCGAAAAATATACTCTCTCCATCCAATAATAGATGATCTTTTTTTTTTTTTTAATTTGTCCTACTACGATAGATGACCTATTTTTATTTTAATAGATTTATTAATTTTAAATATACTTAACAAATCAATTTAATTAAATTATTAACATTTGAATAGGATCCACTTAAAATTTTTTACTTTCATCTCTCATTAATAAAAAATATTAATTTAATTTTTTATATTTTATGGAATTAATTTTCATATTGATTTAATAATATTTTCTATTAAAATATTTTTTTATTGGTGGTGTGTTCCCAGTTCATTTATATTATTTTTTTCTTATTTATTATTATTATTATTTTTAACCATGTACCTTTTATATATAAAAAAAAAAACAAAATATATGATCAAACAACCATTAATATATTTTTAGATAAATGTATTTTTTTATTTTGTGTATAAAAATTTGTATTGATAATATAAAAAACATTATTTATATTGATTGCTGATTTATATAAAAAAATAATATTCGCCACATCATTTATTTGTACACTAAAAAAATAAATACAAAACTGTCTTTATATACATTATTTATATTATATTTTAATAAAATACTAATATACCTAAATTCAACTGTCAAAAATAAATAAGAAGATTATTAGTAGATGAAAGAAGAATTAAAATTTCTAATATTTAAAAATACTTAATTTTATTATGTTTTAAAAAATAAATAATATTTTATATTCCCTTAATCTCAAATATGGTGCAATATTTCTTTGGACACGAGAGTTTAAGTGGATAGTATTAAATAAAATAATTTGAGAATTAAATAATATGATAAGAAAGAAAAATATGTATTTATTTGAGTGATGTGATGAGATAACGCGTAAGGTAATAATTAAATATATTTAATTATCCTATTTTATAAATATTGTAAAATATTTAGGATAAACAAAAATAAAAATAAAAAAATAATTCCAAGATGTTTGGAAGAAATGAAGTATTATTTTTAATATAAAAATATCTCATATCTAAGTGCTGTGAAACTTATTTATTTATTTATTTTTAAAACTTATAGTATTTGATATTATTAGAATGCTATGAGTCGGACCTCAAATGCATATTTATTGGTGGCCGAGCTAGATATCTAATCACATGTTTTCTTGGTTATTGTGTACTTTGTTTATACTTCATCTATTCTACGTAATTTATTTATATTTTTTTTTATTTTTGTCCGTCTCATATAATTTTATTTTTTTTTAAAATATAATTATAAACTTTAATTATATTTTAAATTTTAAATTTTATAATTTTTTTATTTTAATTAAACTATTTAATTATTTAAATCTTAATTCATAATTATTTTTTCTTTACAATAATTTTTTTAATGTGTAGGTCAAGGAGATCATAAGATTGATCGAACATGGTGTGTTAGGCCAACAAAGAAAAAACAAGTCTTTGAGGTCAAGGAAAAAAAAAAAAAAAAAAAAAAAAAAGGACCATGAAAGACGAAGATGATAGCGAGCTTTAGATGCCGCATACCTTCGCATAAGTTTTATATATGTATGTCATAATAGTAAATTATCATATTAATACTCTCTTCGTTTCAAAACTATAGTCTTAATTGAATTTGACACGAGATTTAAAGAATATTAATATTATATTAGTAGTTGATAAAAAGTATGGATAAAAGACTTTTTTGCCCGTGTGAGTGTATTAGTGTAAAAAAAGCAGTGACAATTATGTAATAAAAATGAAAAAGTAAAGGTAGTTTTATGGTGATATTGTTATTTATGGAAATAAGACTATTATTTTGAGACGAACAAAAATGGTAAACAAAATTATTATATTGGAACGGAGGAAGTATTTCATAAACCTCTATCTTTTCAATATCAACTACTTAAAAATAATAGTTACAAGCTCATTAGAAACATACATATACTTCGACTTATCAAAAGCATTTTTAAAAAAGAATTGAGGAGCGTTATAACTTATTGTAATAATTGTATAATAAAATGCAAGAATAAAAATAATTTCGTGGTAGAACACAATATTTTTAGGCTTTGTTTAGATATAAGTTTATTTCGGAGGTTTTGGAAATTTTGGAAGTTTGGAAAAGTAAAAAATTAGTATGTGATGTGATATTTTTTCTAAAAAAATTGAATAGTGTCAAATGAATGAAAGTATGTTTTATAAACAAAGTCTTCACGTGCGTTCTTTTGTGAATTTTATCACAGGATTTTATTATTCAGATTTTTTTTTTTTCTAAAAGAATATCACATCAAACAATTCTTATTATTATTATTTTAATATTATACTATAAATTTATTTTACATTCAAAGCATCACATCAACCTCTATTTATATCACGTCAAACAACTATTCAAATTATATAACTCATAAATTACTAATGCGGGTGTTAGGTACACAACAATACATAAATACATATATATATATATATATATCAATTTAGCAATGATTGATTAGGTTATTTATATATAATTGAGAATTCAATTATATATGACCATTAAAGAGGTTTTATAATTATTTTAAAATTACACGTATTTTATAATATTATAGCAATATCGTAGGTTATCTATATATCAATTTAGCCTCGATTGATTTAGACTATTGTGTTTGTGCCCAAGTTTCATAGTAATAAATATATTCCATTGACACCAGCTACCACTATACTACTTAGAATGTCGTTCAAAATAATCTTGCATTTTTTAAGATAAGGGTAATATATAATTATTTTTTTGGGTATTGACAATGGATACTTCTATATAATTAAACATATTCTATAATCCCGTAAGGGATGATCTGGTGGTAGAGGGGGTTGAATTTGAATTTGACCGTGAGGACCCCTGACGTTTCAGATCATCTGCCACACATGGTTCGCCTAGTGTGATTTTTCCGTCGGGCCTGGTTTGCAGGGTATTAGGTTCGGCCCGCACATTATTTCTTAGTGACTTTTAGTGTTTTTTTCTTAAAAAAAAATTGATTTATTTAATTATAATTTTATTTGTGAAATTTTAATTTTTTTTTAAAAAAAAATAGATGGCTAACGGGTCAATTCCGTATTAGTCGAATCGGGTTCGGGTGTTCTAACCTATTTAAAAATTATTACAAAGGTAAGCGAATCATTTTTAAATCGAACGGATTTGAACGGATTGGGTTAGGATCGAGTCTTCTAACCCGTTTGAGTAAATGAGTCAAGTTTGAGTTGAACAGTTTGACTAATTTGAAAACTCAACCCGATCGTACTTTGATTCGTCTCGACACATTGTCAGCTCTAACTAATTCTAAAGTTGTATTCTTTTGTGGGTTTTACTACAGTTTTTTACTATTAAAATTTTCTTTTCCTAAACAAATATCACATGAAACAATTACTTTTTTTTATATTATACTATAAATTTATTTATTGTAAGTTCAAAACATTACATCAACTATTTATATCACATCAACAACTATTTAAATTCAACTTTTTAGCATTAAAAAATATAAATCCAAAAACTAAACTCACAAACAAACACACATGTTTTTGTGTTAAAGCCCAATTGTTGTAAATTAATGTTATCCAGTCTAACGAAAGAACGAACAGTTTAATCAATGTAAAATGACGAATGCAAGAAGTCAGCAAGATGACGGCAGCAACCGTTATATTCCCTCCGTTAGTTACCCCAACAACTTGATCTTATTATTACCCACGTGTCCGTACTGTTCATGGAACCCTACAACTTGCTCCACTTGCAATTATTTTTCAAACAATTTTCTTTCACCACTGATACTCTTAAATTATACTTCCTCCGTGCCAGTTACTCTTTCTACGTTGCTATTTTTGTCCGTCCCACGTACTATGTCACTTTCATTTTTTGGAAAATAATTACACATTTTAATTTCATTTTAAATTTTTAAATTTTATTTTTTTAAAAATTTTAATTAAACTAATTAGTTATCTTAATCTTAATTTATAATTATTTATATTATAAGATAATTATTTTCACTAATATATTTTTAATTATCTACTAATTACACCACTCTTAAAAAAAGACACAGTGTAACAGACACGGTATCTAGCACGGAGTACATTTTACAATTTACAATTTCTCATTATTTGGTTCATGCACCTTCCCCAAATCCTATCTCTATATAAACCTCCCAAATTTCTCATTCTATAGTTCACAAATTTTACCCAATAATTCCATACTAACTTTAGAATTTTCAACAAAAAAGATTTGATTTTTCTTGGAAGGATTCAATTAGGGTTTATTTCATGTACAAGCCAGTTCTGGGAGATTCATTAACGCCGTTAGAGATGACGCCGGCGTTATTCCGCCGGAGCTCCAGTTTCAGCAGCCTGGTGCCGTGCCTGACGGAAACGTGGGGCGACTTGCCGTTAAAAATGGATGACTCTGAAGACATGGTCATTTACGGCCTCCTCCGTGACGCCGTTAACGACGGGTGGACGCCGTTTAACGCCGTTAAGCCGGAGGCGATAGGGTTTGAAGCCGACGGCTCGGAGTACGGCGCAGCTCCGACGGCGGCGAGCCGACACTACAGAGGCGTACGGCGGCGGCCGTGGGGGAAGTTCGCGGCGGAGATAAGGGATCCGGCGAAGAACGGCGCGCGCGTGTGGCTCGGGACCTACGAAACGGCTGAGGAAGCGGCGTCGGCTTACGACCGAGCGGCTTACAGGATGCGCGGCTCGAAGGCTCTGCTGAATTTCCCGCACAGGATCGGCTTGAATGAACCGGCGCCGGTTCGGATCACGGCGAAGCGGAGGTCGTCCGAGTCGTCGGGTTCGACCGTATCGACCGGTTCGGAGAGCGGCTCGCCTAAGCGGAGAAAGAAAGCGGCGGAGCCGGAAGTAGAGAGCTTAATGACGACAGCATTGCCAGTTGGCGGACAGTTATTGGTGGTCTGAAATAGGGGCATGTTTGGCTGTCGAATTTTATATTATTAAAGTGACATTTGTACTGTACACAAAATCCAAACACTGCTGGGCTGCCAATATCGACGGTCCAGATTGAATGATGTATATTCTATGGGAAAGAGATTTGAAAGATATTGAGAGAGTGTGTGCTTGTTTAATTATGTTTTCACATTAAATTTTACTATTTAAATTAATAATTGAAAGAAAAAATTGTAATTGGTCTTTCAATTATACAAATAAATAAATATGTGTGGTGGAATTGAAAATGTATTCGGAATAAAATAATTCATAAGTGACAAAATATGAATATTTATATGGGCCCCATGAAAATATATGATACTTCAATTATTTTGTGTTTGTTGACATAATTAGATAAAATAATCACAAGAAATTATGCGTATTTTAATAATTTATTGACATTATTATTAATATTATATTAAATACACTATTTTAATTACCTTAAAAGACGTTTTTGTCCCTTCTATTTACATTCGTATTAATTTTAATTCATATATTATTAATGACACTTTTAATCTTATTTATTTTGTTTGTGTCAATTTTAGTCTTTTTATATTTAAAATAATAATTTCGATCCCTTATAAATTAATAAAATTCAACTTTTATTCATAATTATTATTTTCTTAAAAAATCCATAGATATACTTATTACAAAATATGTATTGTTAGTGGAAATATAATATAAACAAAATTTTAAATTGTAAATCTCCCGTGTAAAGTATTTTTTTTTATTTAAAGAAAAAAAAATCTAAGAAAATTAAATTTACAAAACCTTTATTATTCTCTTTCTTCTCTATTTTTCTTTCATTATGGAACAAAATCGGTCTTTTCGGACAGTTTCGATTTGGACTCGGCAATTTCGGGGGCCGGTCTGGTTCAAACTCGGCCAAGTCTTTCTCAGATGTATGTACTACATGTTCTCTTTCTTGCAATATTTCTCACACCACACCGTAGTTGAGTCTCCTCATTCTATTATTATGTCTCTACCTCCCTCTCATACTCTACTTATCCATCTTCCTCCCCTTTGCAAGCTATGGCGTAAGTTTAATTTTATTTTTTTTAATATTATTATTTTTTTTAATATTATTCTTTTTTTTTATTATTATTTTTCACTCATTCTTTTATGGCCGGGTTCACAATGCTCCAAATTTTATATGTTTACACACGCCGTATTGCAACTCTGCAATTGAGGTTCTTTGGTGTTTAGTAGACTAGCAGCTGTCTCTTTTTGTGCTCATTAACATATGCTTAAAATTTTTAAGCTCTAAAGCTCTTATAGAATTGTAGAGTTCTTAAATTTCGAGGAAATTTAGAATTGACTGCAAGCATATACATGTGTATATATAAATTTTTGAATTAGAAATACGCTATTGATAATTTTCATAAAATAAGTAAAACTGCAAGCATAAAAAAATACATACATCTTGTGGTGAGATTATCTATAGAATACACCACGTAAAGAAAAACTGAAACACAATAAAATACATAGGCATATATATATACATTCTATCATTTAAATATTTGTCATGATCTGTATTTGTTTCAGTAATATTATTAACTTGTTACAGGAGAGAAATATCCCCCGAAAAAAAAAGATCAAGATGACAGTTTCAGTCATGATTTATATATATGCAATTTGTTTATTAATTGTAAACAATGTGTAAATTATATTTGTATGTGTATGTGTATATGAATCACAGAGGAAAAGCAAGGTTACTACAATATTTGTTTAGCGTGTACTACCCTCTAGGGGTACAACCTCAAGCCGTCCCAATAAAAGGCTTAGCCTTCAATCAAGATGAAAAGATTCTCGCATTTAATGAGTTAATTCATCTTCTTTATGTGAATATATAATTCAACGTGGTCTTTCCAAAACTATTATTTGTTCTGTAAAAATTTACTATGCTTTAATGCTTATAGTTTAAACTTCGTAAGGATAATTACTAAGCAAACTGGAAGATATTTCTCCACAATGGATTAAATATAACAACTTGGGCGGTAAATTTTCTGTATGTTCATCCAATTGTTATAAACTAAATATGATCTTTCAATCTGCATTCAAGGTTTGAGATGCATGTACTATGTGTCATCTTCCTTCGATTTCTTACCACCGTGGTTGGTTCTCCTCATTATATTATTATGTCTCTACTTCCCCCTCGTACCCTATCTCTCTATTTCTCTCTCCCTCATACCTTGCAAGCTATGGCGTAAGTTTACTTTTTTTTAAAAAAAAAAAAATATTATTTTATGAATCTTGTTGTAACTTAGTTTGCTATTTTTTTTTTGTTGTGATCTTGCTTCTTTTTATTTATTTATTTGAGATTCGCAATGCTTCAAAGCTTGTGTGCTTGCACACGCCATATTGCAATTATGCACCCGAGGTTCTTCGGTGTTTTAACAGACTAGCAGTTGCCTCTTTTTGTGTTAATTAGCATATAAATGCTTAAAATTTTCTAAGCTCTAAAGCTCTTGTAGGATTGTGAAGTTCTTGGATTTCGAAAAGATTTTGAATTGACTGCAAGTATATACATGTGTATATATAAAGTTTTGAATTAGAAATATGCTATTGATAATTTTCATAAAATAAGTATAACCGTAAGCATAAATAAATACATACATCTGTTGGTGAGATTATCTATAGAATACACAATATAAAGGAAAACTGAAGCACAATAAATACATAGGCATATATATATACATTCTGTCATTTAAATATTTTTCATGATCTGTATTTTTTGCAGTAATATTATTAACTTTCACATAAGGGAGATATTCCCCGAAAGACAAAGATCAAGGCGACAGTTTCAGTCATAGTATATATATATATATGCAATTTGTTTATTGATTGTAAATAGTATGTAAATTATATTTGTATCATAGAAGAAAAGCAAAGTCACTACAAAATTTGTTTAGCGTGTACTACCCTCTAGGGGTACAAACTCAACCCGTCCCAATAAAGGCATTCCTTCAATCAAGATGAAAAGATTCTCGCATTTAATTAGTTAGTTCATCTTCTTTATGTGAATATATAATTCAACGTAGTTTTTCCAAAACTATTATTTGCTTTGTAAAAATTTACTACGGTTTAATGCTTACAATTTAAACTTCTTAAGGATAATTACTCAATAAGTTGGAAGATATTTCTCCACGGTGGATTAGACATAACAACTTGGGTGGTAAATTTTCCATATGTTCATCCAATTGTTATAAGGTAAATATGATCTTTTAGCCTGAATTCAAGGTCTAAATTGTTAATCTAACTATTGGGACAATATGCCACAATAGCTCGTCTACATGTTCTTGAAATGTAATTATTTTGCTAAGCAATAATTTTTCTGTATTCTAAGAACCTTACAGTATTTAAGCTCATGCTTGCATTCGGGTCTTTAATAGGTTAAATTCCGTCCAAGTGGATCTAAAGTTTTTACAAGTGGAGCTGCAAATAATATAATATATGTGTCGAATGTTGATCATTTCGATGTTATCAGATCGTGTTGCTTTAGTAATATCAAAATTTATATTGTTCAATACATTTTATTTATTTATTATTTAAAAAAAAATGCTTTGTTAAGGCATTTCTCTTTTAATTTTTTTGTCAATTTGAAGCGAATGAAGTGTATTCAGTCGCCTTTAATACAAAGCAAATCTTTTCATTAGTCAGTCAAGATAAAGTTAGCAATGTAGAGAAAAATAAACATTACTACATTTGTTTGATTGATGTTATAATAACTTCTATGAGTTAGCATTTTGTATACAACAACATTTTATATAGCCGTATAGAACAAGAGAGGGAGAGAGACTGGTAGAGGATATTGTTGTACTTGAATCTATAATAAGAACAAGATATTTTATTAGAGCAGTATATTTTCACCACATTGCCGCATATCTTATGACTACTGAGGTTCTGTTTTGAAACCTTTTAATTTTCTTTTTTCCTTTTACATTAATCTCAATATATCATTTTTATTGTGATTGTCTATCAGGTCTGAAACTTTGATATTTTGGTTATGGAACAATTTTCCATAGGTTGAACATTACATAAGAAACCATAGAATATGAGAGTATTACATAACAAATTCATACGCAGCTCTTGTGGAACGGATATGCCGTTTAACAATTCCGTAAATTATTCTTTTTAGGTCTGTAAAGCTATTTGTTATTTGTTCTTGTATAAATATAACTGGTTTCATTAATAGATATAAAGATAATTTCCAATGTGAATTAGCTTCTACTTTCCAACATAAAATTTCATTGTACATAATTAATCCCCATATACATATATATACTTTTAAAATTGTTATTCTTTTCTTACTTATAGTCAGATGACTTCAAATGTTTATGTATGATATTATTTTTCTTGAAAAATGAATGCTCATATTTCTTCATGCGGAGATTTTTAGCCATTTGTGTAGCATGTCTCCAACCAATGGAGGATCCTCCTCATCCTCGTCGGGTTATTTTTGAATTAAGAATATATTCTCTTATGGAGTCTGGACCTATAGGAATGCCATATTTTTTTTTGCATACTACAAGTTTATCCAATTCTATTATCTTTTCTTATAACTTTGGTTTTTCTTTACGATCTCGTCTAATCTTGGCACCTGAATGCGTGAATGCAATACATGTTAGTTGCGTTATCTGATTTGGGTTATTTTACCTATGACCACCTTTGAGTTGTTTGCTAGTATTAACAATTGAATGTATGATCATTACTTCTTTATCAATTGTAAATGTCAAGTTTTAGTTTGGTATTTGGTTATATCTATACTTTGGAAAGTTATAAAGGTGATTTACAATGGAAATTTAACTAATTTTGAAAATAAATGGCATTGTTTATTAGTATATGTATTTTTAAAATATTTCCAATTAGTTTGGTGATTGGTCAATTGCAATAAATAAATATGTAAGAATGTAGGATAATTATGGTGTTTCAATGTTTCTGATTCATTCGTTCGAATGTTGTAATACTTATCATTTCATATCTTTTTTATTTTCATTTGGTAAAGCGCTAGTTTTCGCCTACCTCAGAATATCTACTGGTAATTTATGAACAATGTAACAATTTCCTTTCTAGAATAACTTAAATTGGGGAAGCACAAATGTATACAATTTTAGAGTAAATGGTTATGTGTATAATCACA